CAGCTCCTTGCTTCTCAAGTTTCGTATCGAGCAAAAGAATGAAAAATAAAAAATCAATTCTAAGGAATGATGAGCTCCAAACGATTTCCCTCCCCGCAAAATCGGGAGTCTGGTCGCACCTTTTCTGCCTAACGAATTTTATTCAAAGGCAGCAGCTTTCAAGGTTTTATTAACTGGTGTGATGTTTATTAAAAGGGATAAAGCTCATGAAAGTCCCTGAATAAATTTGTTAGGTAGAAAAGGTGCGACCAGACTCCTCCCGATTTTTTGCCACCATAGACCAGTGTTTCTCAACCTCAATAACTTTAAGATGCGTGGACCAACTCCCAGAATTCCCCAGCCAACATGCTTTAAGATGGGCGGACTTCAAGTCCCAGAATTCCCCAACCAGATGGCTGCCTAGAGAATTTTGGGACTTGAAGTCCACCCATCTTAAAGTGGCCAAAGTTGAAAACCACTGCCATAGACTAATGCTGGTCTGCTCCCCTAACACAAATAGCACAAAATACCTCTCCATTTGTACCATCACGTGCGAAGAACTTTCTCAGTTAAGGCCAAGCATTGGGCTCTGCTCCAGACAGCCATTCTGGATTCTTCATATTCCATAAATTAAATCTGCGCAAGCCAGGTTGATTAAAAAAAAAGAACAGTCACTTTCTTCTGAGGTGCGACCATCATCCCATGGAACATTTTCTGGATTGACGAGAGAAGAAAGCCCGAGGCACATAAACAGTACCCCTTTCCAATCAATCAAAAACTTCCAACGAACCTACATTTCATCGAAGTTTAGAAAAAAGGCATTTTAAAAAAGGGCATTTTTTAACATCTTAAATACAATATCTAACATTTTATTTTTGCACATTCAGAATGTTGACCGTAAACCATCTATTCATGAATGGTTCTGGTCCTTCCTGCTTCCCAACCTCTTACAAATCGGTCAGCATGTTGGGCTTGTTTAGCTTAGTCCTGTGGCTTGTGTAAACCAGGACTTAGAGATCACCAGGCTAGGAGAACGTGCCCACTGCGGCTGGCCTAACAAATTATGATTAACCCAACCTTAACTTTGTGACATGACTTCCTATACAAAAGTTAATATTTGTTGTTGGTTTTTTTTACTTTTCTGAATTTTTCTCCAATTTTGTTATTAGGGATTATTGATCCTGAAACGCAACTTGTTTCACCAGGAAAACAGCTGGATGGCCATAAAACACAGATTACATTCACTCTTCGTGAAAGAATGCAGAACATTCTCCTGCTAACAAATTTGCAGCTGCCTCTTTCTCAAAATTAAAGGCTCATTCCCACAAGTGCATATAATCACCTGCTTCTCCTCAACTCTGTCCTCCGTATGTGAATTATCCAACGATAAGAAAAATTTCCTATCCAAAGTGAAGATAGGAAATAACCTTTCATAACCTTTAGTCATCTCACTGCTGGCAATTAATTACTGAAAAGGCCTGTCTGCAAAAAAAAAAAAAAGAAGGCCTGATCACTGCAACAGGGATAGCAAACCGAGCCATAAAAGCTGGAGAGGTAATTTTATAGCAAATAAAATCATTTGGCTAAAGTACACGCATATCTTTTTCTTTAATGTAAAACCATTTGAAACAGCTGCCTGGATGAATGTTGAATTCTCCAGATGTTCTGAATAGAATAACACAGTCAGAAGGTTATTTTTAACAATCTACATCAATCTAAAATTAGGAACTGCTCCAGCAAAATCTATATATTATATTTTAGCTG